ATAATGTAATAGGTATCGTTTATATAATGTAATAGGTAGTTGTAAAGTATCTATCCTTTTTATAAAAGTGTCCATACTTTTTTCATTGTGGAAAACATTAATTTAAGGTTATCTTTTGAGTGAGTTTTAAGATATTAATTTAGTAATTATAGGCGTCTAATGATTTATTTTTTACGTTACGATATATATTATTATTAAATTAAAAATAATAAAAATATATATTACATATTTATTATTATCTTTGGTTAATATTGTTAAATTTAAATTCTAAATATTATTTTATAAAATATCAAAACAATCAAATAATTTTTTGTGCAAATGAAATTATTAAATTAATATTGTAGGTGAAAAACATGAAACACTATTAAAAAAATTGAAACATAAATTACATAACTTTAAAAAAATTATCGATCATTTTTATAAAAAGTATGGACACTTTCAACATATTATAATGTAATAGGTAAATTTGCAATGTTATCAGTATAAATATACCGGTTTACTTATAAAATAGGTAAATATAAGCCTACCTATTACATTATATAAGCGCTACCTAGTATGTTATTGTACTTTATAATATTTTTGGTTAAATAATATAACATAACCGGTCTAAATTTTAACCGGTCACTTGTTTTACCGGTCACGCCGTATATTAGCCGTTTTTTAGGCGCCGCACCGCAGAACTACCCCAAGAAAACACACTTTTCTGATTTGGAGACATAGATTCCGGCTTTTTCGGCCTGTCAAGCCCGGCATTAATTGGCCCAATAGGTCACTTTCGAATTTATTTTATAATCTACCGTAATTGTTACAGTACAGGATAAATCCTTCACGTCGACGTGACGTGATTTTTAAAAAAAAATTAATGATCTCAATTCAACATGCCCCACCTAGACTATTATTATAATATATTTTTATATACTCGTCCCGTCGACATGACAAATCTCATGGGAAGTAATTTTATTTTTTAAACTCAATAAATAATTAAAATTTTAAGAAAATATAGAAACTCGTCATGTTGAGGTGACGAGTTACCCTGGAATTTAATTCAAAAAATTATCGTTGGGCAACGAGCAACTTTTGAATTTTAAAAAATTTAACTATGACAAAATAATTTTCGTAATTTTTATGATGCCGAGGAGTGGTCGAATGATAATGGTGTGGAACTCGTCAATTACGTTGTGGTCATCCGCCTTGATCGTCTTTATTTTCGTTTGCTTTTTCAACTGGTATAATGAACATCACTCCACTTTGATATCCACCTTTGAAATATGGTTATAGAGTACTTAAGGTATTTGACATCATCATTGTCATCATTGACTTGACTTGGCTACCGAAATCATTACCTTGTTGACCATATATAATATGATCTCATTCACCATCACTTGCATATTCTATCGAAGATGCTTAACTGATTTGCATTACATCTCATGAACCTTAAATCTAATTTGACTAACTCTCCATTGAATCATGCTATGGAGGATAAAAAACCATAACTTGCATGAGATGCAAAATATATTCTCTTTATGGAGTGATTCCTAACCCAATTCTCTTTATGTTTCTCACGCATATCAATTATATGGAACACGTTTATATCAAATATTCACATAGGAATTGGTTGACGAGAAGCAAACGATCGCAACAACTATTTTTAACCCTAATCTCAATGATTATAAACAAATATATTTTCAAAAATCTCATAGAACTCATCACGTCGAGGTAATGAGTTTCAATATGTCCATTGGAATCAAACTGTTGCTGTTGTCCGTTGTCCGACGACTATAAATAGCTGATTTTTTAAATTTCAGGATAACTCGTCATCTCGACATGATGAGTTTCATACTTTTTAAAAATTATTTTAATTTTTAAATTATTTATTGAATCTAAAAAACACTACCTATAAAACTCATCATATGGACGTGATGAGTCTCATGAAGTATATTATAATACTAGCCCATATGGGACCCACTGACCTGGGACCATTAAAAAATATTTTTTGAGTAAACTCGTCACGTCGACGTGAAGAATTCATCATGTACTATAACATTTGTTGTAGATTGTAAAATAAATTCATAAGTGACCTGTTAAGCTAATTAATTTCTCCGCTTGACCTAATGGGTAAAAAAAACCCTTAGATTCCGCTTGCTGAGGCCCATTATGAAGCCTTTCAGGGTCTCTTTCTTCAAGTCACTCCAAAACATACCGGACTTTTTAAAATCTAATTAAAGCCTAAACTTTTGCCCATCAACTCATTAAACTCAATTATGTTATTTTTTGAAAAATATTTTTTATATTATAAAAGTAAAAATAACATGGTTAAATATAAAATTTTAAAATACTAACAATATTAAAACCATACCAACTATATTTAGCTAAATTAGTATTTTTTTTACAATGGTAACGGGATTCCATTAGTAGAAATAATCGAATGAATCAAGTTACAATGCACTCTAACTAAACCCAAAGATACAAAGAACAAAGAAACCTCCGAATGACATCCAACATAAAATAAATCCAAAAACCTTTATAGAATTTCTTATCTCTGTCAAATGAAATACTTTACGAAGTAATAAATGAGTGGTGAATGAACCAAGCAATTTGACAAACTACTTCGCTACATAATTATGATTATATCAGCAAACAACTTTGTGCGAGCACTAACACGACCGCAGAGGTATGCAAAAAACATACCAAAAATCATAAGGAACGTGTCACAAGAACAGAGAAAAAATGTGTCACAAGGACATAGATTCTTCTTTGAAATTGAAAAAACTCAAGAAAAAATCAATATTTAGATTGGTGTTGCCGTCGGCTAAAAAAAAAAAAAAGAAAGAAGGTAAAAAGTATTAAGAAAAACTTAAGTTAGAGAAAAAAATTAAATCAATATTTTTTATTATAATAAGATTGTAAACTTGTACGTACTTGAGTACCATTGTTTTTTAAGCATTATGATAAGTGGCATATTTACAATTTATTAGGATGAGTAAATATTTGTTTTAAAACTTAAACTAATTTAATTTTTTATATTTATTTATTTTATTAATTGTGCATATTCTTAGATTTATTTGTTTTCACATGTATATATAGTTTTTAAAATCAGTTGAGCAGAACTCGTAATTAATAAACACTGAGGGGTTGTTTGGTTCAGGAAATATGTGATTATCATGGAAAAAGAATGTCATTCCCTCGTTTGGTTGACCAGTAATCTTATTCACGATAATCTTTTATTCCCAACAGTGATATTTTGGGGGTATATTATCGGGAATGTGATTATCCCTTCCCTTAGGTATTGTTGGATTACCAGTGTTTTGGACTAAAATGCCCTTAAATTTCCCCCCCCCCAAAAATATCATTCTTCTATCGTTGAATAATAAAAATTCTACGAAGGTTAAATTACAAATTTATCCTTAAACTATTTTAGATTTAAAAAAAATCCATAATTAAAATTTTATATAAAGTTCAGGGATTAAAATAAAATTTTAGCTTTTCATTAAACATATTTATCTTTTTAATTTTGTAAAAAAAATTATATAAATTTTATGAATTTAATTAAAGAAAAATATATAAATTGATTATAGTAATATTATAGTATAATTTAACTTGTTAAAAAAATAAATTTATAATAAGGATAATTTAGTAAAATATGTATTCTAATAATCTTTTATTCTTTTAACTAAACACTGTAATCTTACGTTCCTACTAAATAAATCAAATACAAAATACAATATTCTGTGTAATCTTATTTTTGTCAATAATTCTATTCTTACTTATAATCTTACATTTCACGAACTAAACCCACGTAAACCGTTATTGAAATGGAGGATCCACATCTATCAAAATTAGGTGACGTGATCCAAGAACTGCTGTAGGCTGTAATAATTTTCTGTAATAGCATGCTGCACCGACGTAAACGGAACGGAGATCTAGGGGCACACAAACTGTTGACTTTAAATGTAAGAGAAACAAACGGCACATCGACGACGTCCACTAAATAGTAAATGGTTGAAGGGTGTCGGCTGCTTTTTGCTCACCATCATTATCATTCAAATTAATAGCAGTCAAACTCTAAAACCAACAAAGCAGGAGAAAAAGAGAGAGTGGAATGCAACCACTTCCCACATTGTAATTAGGAGAAACGCCTCTCTTCTCTTAATAAAGGAATCATCATGCAAAACCATAAAGTACACCGTGGTGTATATATCTCCCGAAATTAACTTTATATTATAATATTTGCGTACTGCATGACTTCAAATTCGTTTCTGCAATTAATACAATAAATGTGCTTGGCCTCTCTTCAGTGCTTCGTTGATAAATAGAATGAATTATATATTATTAATGAAGCAAACATTAATAATGTGTCGTGCATTTGCTTGTGTTTGAGGTCATCCACATTCACCCGTAAGGGGAGAAAGAAAGGAGGAAGACATGGGGAAGAACACCTAGACGAAGTAAACAAGGATCCCCCATTTGTATCACGGATGCCAAATAAATTTAGAGAAATATTATGAGCGAGAAAATAATGACAAATTATTTAGAAATGTATAGTATTTATTATGGTGGATTAAGAATTTATCACGAGTTTTGTAAAATATTTTTTTATTAGAGCATATTTGTTTGACGAAACTAAATTAATTTTCATCATTGTTCCTTCTGCAAGATATATAATTTAATTTTAAATATAAAAAATGCTAATTCCAAGGTTTTTATTTTCTTTTATGATTTTGAAATTCAAGCTGCATTTATCGCTACTGGGGGATAGTAATATATACAAATGTTCTTTGTCTTATTTATTAGCAATAATGCTAAGATATCGGAAGGCCAAATTCTCGTGACGCTTCACTCCAAACTCTAAAAATTCAAATATCATGATGAAAACATTAGTATATAAACTCTAGGGCAATGCAATTAAATATTCCATTTCCATTTCCTTTGTCATTCTCTCTCTTATTTGCTGTGGCAAAGTGTAATCATTTTTTGATTTGGAGCCCTTTTTTAATTTTTTTTTACTTGGTGTTTCTAGTTAGCTGTAATACCATTTTCTTCTCCAGTATTCTAATTTAATGGCTGAAAATGCATAGGACTCTGCCATGATTTCTCACATGCATGATCCAAGTACATATAAAAACAGCAGACCTCAGAGATTTCATCATGTCATGTGAACATAGAACATTGTTAAATTGCTGCTAGTTGCAGAGTTGCAGCAAACTTCTCTTTCATCTAAAAAAAATTCAAGTTTTTTTTTTCATTGAATGGAAATGGAAACTAGCTCAGTTTCTAAGCTGTTAATTTTGTTCTTCACGGCCTTGTTTGTGAGTTCTAAGCTGATCTACTGCACCATTACGTATGACAAGAAATCTATTCTCATCAATGGAAAAAGGAGAATCCTCATCTCCGGCTCCATTCATTATCCCAGAAGCACCCCTGATGTAATCTTCTTTCATACTTTTCTTTCTATTTCCTCCCTTAAGAACACTAGTGAAACAAAGACAAGTTCTGGGTTTTCATTTTTTTTGGATGTAGATGTGGGAGAGTCTTATACATAAGGCTAAAGAGGGAGGCTTGGATGTCATAGACACCTATGTCTTCTGGAATGGTCACGAGCCTTCTCCAGGAAATGTACTATCTTAGATCTCAACTGGACCATCTTTAAAAATTGTGTTTTTTTTACTCATTTTACTTCATTAACTTTTTAGTATTTCCCCCTCCATTTTTGTGATGATATAGTATAATTTCGAAGGGAGATATGACCTTGTCCGGTTCATCAAGACGGTGCAAAAAATGGGATTATACGCTAATCTTCGCATTGGACCCTACGTTTGTGCAGAGTGGAACTTTGGGTACTTACCATTTCTATCCTTACTTGCCTTTTTCGGTTGGAAAGACAAATTTTAACCTTCTTAGCTTGTTTTAGAGCCATGAATGATTGAATAAAAGATAAGTTTTTTATTTGATTATCATAAAAAATGCTGGATTTGAGTGGTTTATACTCTATTTTCTGATACAGAGGATTTCCAGTTTGGCTAAAGTATGTTCCTGGTATCAGCTTCAGAACAGATAATGAGCCCTTCAAGGTGTTTGCTCTTTTTCAGTCGACCTTTCCTGTTCCACCTTGAATAAGATATAAAGGAAGAAGATAAGTCATAAAGTTAAAATGATGTTATGCAAATTCCAATTTCTTTCCTTTTGTTTTTTTTCCTGCAGAGTGCAATGCAAGGATTTACCCAGAAAATTGTCCAAATGATGAAGAACGAAAAACTTTTTGCATCACAAGGTGGCCCCATCATCCTTTCTCAGGTATGGGATTCTCAATAATTTGGAACTTATTTTAGGAATTTTGATTTTGTTCAAAAGCGTGGCTAAAGCCTATGCATTGGCCTGAACTGACTTACCATGTTGACAAATACTAATTCTTTGAGACTTTCCTTTTAGATTGAGAATGAATATGGTCCTGAGAGTAAGGCACTTGGAGCAGCTGGTCATGCATACGTTAATTGGGCAGCAAAAATGGCGGTCGGACTAGATACTGGAGTACCATGGGTCATGTGCAAGGAAGATGATACCCCAGACCCTGTGGTAAGCCATCTCGTGCTCTCTCGTTCCCGGATTTCCCGTCGTGACTGACTTGTTATTAAATTCATGTGGACTAGGAAGACCCTGACTCTGTTTTCCTTCACATCTTGAATACAGATAAATACATGTAATGGCTTTTACTGTGATGCATTCTCTCCTAACAAACCTTACAAGCCTACATTGTGGACAGAGGCTTGGAGTGGTTGGTAAGTACTTAATTTGCCACTTCTTAAAGATGTCATCTAATGCTTATCTGTTGATCTGATATTTCTGCCCTCAACAATGAGAAGGTTTACGGAATTTGGTGGTGCGATTCACCACCGGCCGGTTCAAGACTTGGCCTTCGCAGTTGCTCGTTTCATACAAAAGGGTGGCACATATATTAACTATTATATGGTTAGTTAGCATATCCATTTCGGTTTCTAATGGAAAAAAGAATCATGCAGCCATCAGCAAGTTTAAACTTACAGCTTATATCTATTTGCCTTCATTAGTATCATGGAGGAACCAACTTTGGACGGACTGCTGGGGGACCGTTTATTACAACCAGTTATGACTACGATGCTCCAATTGATGAATATGGTGAGAAACTGTATTCATTTCCTTGCTATGTTCTCACAGACCCTTTGTACATATAGAAACAAACTTTGAACTCTGAGTTGTCACTTACAAGTTCACGTTTTTTTAGGATTAATCCGGCAGCCTAAATATGATCATCTATTGGAGCTTCATCGAGCTATTAAGCTATGTGAACATGCTTTAGTTTCCTCAGACCCTACTGTTACTTCTTTGGGAACCTATCATCAAGTAAGCATTCTTTTTTAGTCATAATTCTTGGTGTCCATTGGTAATATGATAATATGGTATTAAATATAACTTTACACTCATGATGCTAGTAATGTTTTATCTTTCAGGCTCATGTATTTTCTTCTAAAGGAAGCTGTGCAGCTTTTCTCTCTAATTACAATACGAAATCTGCTGCCAGGGTGATTTTTAATAACAGGCACTACAATTTGCCCCTTTGGTCTATTAGCATCCTTTATGATTGCAGAAACGTGGTGTTTAATACTGCAAAAGTGAGTGAATCCTATGGCCCTATCTTAATGTACTTGAGGCTATTTCATTATATATGATGATTTTCCTATGAAAGTACTTGTACCTTTTATGCATATCAAGGTTCGGGTTAAAACTTCACATACCCACATGGTGCCGACGAGCTCAAAGATGTTCTCTTGGGAGACTTGTGATGAATCCATTTCTTCTCTGGGTGAAAGTTCGAGACTCACAGCTAACGAACTCCTGGAGCAGATGAATGTCACCAGAGATACTAGTGACTACCTGTGGTATGCAACAAGGTGCGAAACTGCCTTTTTTACACTACTATTTTCGTAATTGTTGAAATAGCATCTTGAAACTCATCTAGAAACCCCACATATACTTTCATTCCAGTGTCGACATCAGTCCATCGGAATCGTTTCTACGAGGAGGACAAAAGCCAACTCTCAATGTGGACTCAGCTGGCCATGCCCTTCATGTTTACATCAATGGACAGTTTTCGGGTATATCACTAAGTAAAATATAATTTAAGTTCGTCTAACATGTTGATACCACAGAATTTCGATATATGTTCTAATTCTTATGATAATATCACAGGGTCAGCATATGGGACTAGGAAAGACAGGGCATTCACACTTTCAGGGCCAGTGAACCTACTTGCTGGAACAAATCATATTGCACTTGTCAGCATATCTGTCGGATTACCGGTTTGTTATTTACCGTGTCTAATTGGATCTAAATGTTAGGTAGCAAATATACGATTTCAGAACGTGCCATTCCTTTACCACATGGATCCATTTGGATGGGAAAGTTTTCAACTACTGATACAAATTTATGGTGGTGTTGTAGAACGTTGGACTGCATTACGAGACATGGAAAACGGGAATTGTGGGTGTTTACTTGAATGGCCTTGACGAAGGAAAGAAAGATTTGACATGGCAGAAATGGTCGTACCAGGTTCGATAGCCTTTTAATATGCAAAATCTACAATTTTACATGTTTTGATGATGCTATATAAAGCCAGAAGTTAGTTTGGCTCACAAAAGTACTTACAAACAGGTTGGCTTGAAAGGAGAAGCAATGAATTTGGTCTCTCCAGATGGGGTCTCATCTGTTGAATGGATCCGAGGTTTACTAGCTGCACGGAGGCAGTCCATGACATGGTACAAGGTAGAGAAGCTGAAGGCGGTTTTCATTTTCATCTTTTTCGATATTTCAATGGGTCCGAAGTTAACCATTGGATATTGTAGGCATATTTTGATGCCCCAGAGGGTAATGATCCATTGGCTTTGGATATGCGGAGTATGGGAAAGGGTCAAGCATGGATCAACGGACAGAGCTTAGGAAGATATTGGATGGCGTATGGGAACGGTGACTGTGCAACTTGTAGTTACTCAGGGACATTCCGACCGACAAAGTGCCAGAGCGGTTGTGGCCATCCAACACAAAGATGGTAATCACTCTCAAAACTCCAATGGACTTTGCAGTTGGCATAAAATGAGTATATTTCACTTGTTGAGCTCTTATATTTCCATGTTACGAAACATGATCAGGTACCACGTTCCAAGATCATGGCTAAAACCAAGAAAGAACTTGTTGGTACTCTTTGAAGAACTCGGCGGCGATGCAACTAAGATTTCTCTTGTGAGGAGAACAGTTTCGTATAAGTCGCGTGGACACCATCACAAGTCGGGAGGGAAGAATAAATAAGATATTGCAGTTTGGTTAGTCTAAATGAGATTTGGGTATTGCTTAAATGTAGCAGAAATGTAAGGGTTTTAGAAATAGGCAGTCATAATCAATCAGGTTTGGCATGGGTGATGAGAGTCAAGGCAGCTGATATCTGTGTTTGAAAATCCAATTTTGTGATTGTTTGGAAAGCAAGAATCAATGTTATGCAGCCGTGATTTGAAGAAATGAATCATTCTTGCTGGTGATGCAACACTTAGAGATTTTATTTCAACAGGTACGCTTTATAGATGTAATTACTCAAATTTAAATCTATTAAAGAATGCAATATTTTCCTTTGCTAACAAGTTCACTCAAATATAAAAGTAATTAGAACATAAGAATAAGAGAAAAATATAAGATAAGAGTCGAAAACCCTAGTGTTTGTTTTCTTTTTCTCTATCTGTCGAACTTTCACCTGATTGTAACTCCATCAGACGACCAATTTCCCGTTGAAACAAGAGTTAACGAACTGAAAATGGAACCGACGAATCACGCGGTGAGTGACAAGGGAGGCAAGGTTTGGATAAGATTATATATTTAAGGATTTTTTTTTTTGTAATTTGGGAGAAATTAGAGTTTTTTAAATATAATAATATTTTTATTTTTTAAATAAAATTTTAAAAGTGAAAAAAAAATTTAGACACATGAATTGACTAAAATAAGTTCAGACATCCTCACGAAAAAAATATAATTTGGTCTATTTTTTATAATAAGCCAATAAAAAGTGATTTGAATCTAAAATGATCTAAATTAGAAAATGTTCCAAGTCTAAAATGATTTTATTCGAAAAATATAACTTATAAATCAGAAAGATTTAAAATTTAAATGATTCAAATATAATTGACTTGAACTATAAATAAATGATTGGAAAAATGTTAAGTCTAAAATGATACTATTCGAAAAAATATAATTTTTAAAAAATGATTCAAATATAAAATTAACTTAAATCATAAATAATAAATAAATAAATAAAAATGTAAAATTCAAATTGATTCAAATTATAATCACCATCCGAAATTGATAGCTATAATCTCCGGTCAGACTGCATTAAAATAATGTTTTTTCTTAACGCTGCAAAAAAATAGAGACCCTAGACATTAAGGGCGTTTAGTTAGCAGAAAAGATTATTATAAAAGGAATAATCTTTCTTTTTCTTAAAATTGTACCCTCATTTTTTATTTACAAAAAAAATTATTATCAGATAATAATTTATTATCAATAATTTTTAGATATTACACATAATTCTCATCACTTTAAATAAAAATACTCTTAAAATAATAAATATTTTTTATATGGTTCATTTTCAATTCTCATTCTTTGAGTTTTACTCAAAATTATAAACATAATAAGAATAATAATATAAAAAAAGTTTAATTTAGAAATAATAATAAATTTGAGTAATTAAAATTATTTTATATTTCATATATTAATCATTTATAATTTATAAGGTGAAAAAATTATTGTAAAAAATGTAGTTATTTAAAATAAGATTTAACTTTGAGTTATTAAAAATGAAGATTATACATTGAAAAAATAATATATATATATGTCCACATGAGATCACAACATTATTTGTTTATTATATTATATTTTAGGCTTAATATATTTTTTAAGTGTTTAAATTATATATCAAAATATGATTTGGTTCCTAAATAATAATTTTACTGAAAAAAGTGCTTAAAGTTACAATCATAATTATTTCAAATGTCTAAACTATAACCGCGGTTAAATTTGATCGTTAATTGACACATGTCATAATTTTAAAAAATTTATTTTAATTTTTAAAAAAAATTAGAAAAAAAGATTTCCCTGGCTCTCACTCCTATCCCTGCACCCCTTTCTCTCTCCTTCCCCTCACATTGGCGTTTGCAGCAGTCACTTGAAGTTGAAGCAGACCAAATGTGTAGGTTCCCCAGAACCATACAATCCCGTCACATCCAGTAAAATCCTGAGCACACAGTCGAGGAACCGGCAAGTAAGGCCCTGAGCACACAGCCGAGGAACCTCCAGGTATTCTTCCTCCAACATTAACCCCCCAAATAAAACATGTTCCGTCCGTAAACGGATATATCAAAAATCAAATCATAATTCACCCCAATTTAGGGGCTAAAATTAAGAAATTATAAAGTGGCTGATTTAATTGGTATTTTGAAAGAAATATTGGGGATTAAATTGTAAAGTTTTAAAGTTGGCAAACCATTTTATAAAGTGCAGGAAATTCAGTGGCTAAACCCATGATTTAACCATTTCTTATATATAATGAATTATAAGCTCCTCCCCGTGCGCAGGTTTCATATTTTCCAGATTTCCCTCCTCCAATAACCCAACTTCCAACTCCGATCTACTCGCCGTCCGACCTCCAATCGATGAGCCGAAACCACCATCGTGTTCGTTGTCAACCAAGGAACAAAACCCCTCAAACCTTTCGTCGTGAATCGTCTTCGTTCGTCGTTAATTTCAGTCGGAAGTATCATCGGTAATAACTCGGTTTTAGTTGGTTTTTCATCGATTCACGATGATCGGGTCATCCGTTTACGACACCTCCCGCACCATCGTGTTCATTGCATCGTTCCGAGTTCGCCGGTGTCATCCTTGGTCTCCGTTGACGGTGGCGCGTGAGGAGGTGAAGCGGTCAAAGTTTCCGATTTGTTGAAATCGAGCTCTCCGCCGTTCAAAATTATGAACCGAGCTTTGTAAGTATCTCGAAATCGCTCAAAATAATTTTTAGAAATTTTTTCCGAGATTTTATCACTGTTCACGCACCGCCACTGCGCGGGGGGAAGGAAAAATTGACCGGTTTGACAGGTTTTGGAACTATTTTGACCGGTCACAACCCGACCGGACCCGTTGACCCGACCCGTTGACCCGACACGACCCGACCCGTTGACTCGTTGACCGGCGTTAACCACTGTTGACCAAAACTTTGACCGGCTTTGACCGGGCGTTAAACGACCTTTAACTTCGACCGAGTATACCTATCCTGACATTTTTCGGCGTTCTAAATCCGATTCCGCTGTCCGTTTTTCGAAATTCAAACCCGAAGGCCTCGAAATTGCCGGTCAAACCCGTTGACTTTAATTTTGACCGAAAATTCCAAATTTCCGAAAAGTCATATTTTATGCTTTCGACGTCCTGAATCTGAATCCGAAGTCCGTTTCGCTAAATTCGAACCCGGTAAGCCATCTTTCACTGATTTATCACCCGATTCGATCCGTTTATCGTAATTAAGCTTCGTTTCTGATATAATTTATGTTGATATGTATATGAGGAATTATTGGAAGTTGAATTGAAGATCAAAGGCATTCGAATGGAATTTTTATGGTCGATCAGTATTGCACAAAAATCGAGGTAATACTTTACTACCTCTTTATGCTTTATAGAACATGTTGGTATTGGTAAATGCATGAATAGAAATGTTTGGTCTCATATGTGTAATTAATGAAGATCTACTCTAGATACGAATACGGTAGAAAGTAGATAACTGAATATGGCTCAGATGACTATTATAAGAAATTGGAGGACAGTTGGAATTAAATTACAAGTTCTGGAATTAAGTGATAAAAGAATCAACCATGGATTGTAGATTATAATTTATCTCATTAAAGGTACTTAGATGATAAATTATGAGAATATTTCGATTAGGTAAAATTACGAAATTACCCTTATGTTGGAAAATGAAAAGAATTGTCTCTGGAAGTGGAATTAATAAATCTGAAAAGAATTATTGATATGCTAAAACTATTTATGTGCATAAGAAATGTTAGTTTTACTTAGAAATTATGGATAACCGGTTCTTTAACCCCAAGAAGGTTTATGCTAGATACTAGAAGTCTTTTAAGGAATCATTTCAAGATCAAAGAATATTCGAGGAAGCAATTGATCATAGGATCTCTAAATTATATTATTTTCGTTAAGAGCTAATATCGAAATTATCTGGTTAAGAAATTACGGAAATGACCTTGAGAGGTAAAATAGTCAGAGTTGACCCTGAAGGAGAAAGTACTTTGAGAATTTGTACTTAACTCGATTAAGTACAAATTTAATTATTAATATTCTGTCTTTGTAAAGAAAAATTCATAATATTGCGTTTGTAAAATCCGAGAAGGCACTTGACCCGAAAATATCTGAGTTATGAGTAAATACCTGAAGAACAATTTATCGGATGGTGCTCTTTTATCAGAATTATTCGAACGGACTGGAATAGATGATAAATTGGAATTAAATAATAACACCGGATGAAGGAAAAAGATTGAAATACCGTGGATCTGTAAAATGACCAAAATACCCCTGTAATGGAAATGACCCAAGAATATCACCAAGCTCATAAATGATTGGATATCCTCGAGCTCTGAAATGAATGGAATAAAACTGAATACCAAAATTTACAAAATAACCTTATGGTCTAAACTAAGTAAATGTCTTGGATTAATTAAGGAATCCAAGTAAGCATAGGTATTGGACTACCTTTAAAGATAATGGAAAACAATTTAAGTGAGTAGATCAACCCTAAAACTATATCAATACCTGAATGGCATAGATATTACTGGAACATGTGTTTGTCTTCTCAAGTTTGGCTCGATGATAAATTTTGGAAGTATTCACCTCAGCTCAGCTCTAGATTGTATTCAGTACTAAGAATTGGAAGTTTGTTCGACAATCAACCACGAAGACCAAGTTGAATGAAATATAAGTACAACATGTATCTGAAATTCAGGAACGTTTGAATTACTCTGGAAAATCCTGAAGTAACTGGAATGGAGATGACTGCTAAATGAAATAGGTAACCTCAATGACTGAGGATTTAATAAGTGATTTGGATAAGTCTTGAAACTCTGATGAGTTTACGTAGTGTACAATTACAATGGGTTATGAACAAATTAATCAAGTACGTAAGCATTTCATGATATTGTGGAAGCATGGAAATGAAATACATACATTGGAAGATTTATTCAGCGATGATTCCGAAAATGGTCTACATTGAAGAATTTGTGGTATTAAAGAGTAAATACCCTGGAAGAACAATGAATTGACCAATCGACAAGCATTAGTTTTGGAAACTATTCATCTAAGAGTTGTCCGATAATTCGATCAATCGACATATAATATAAATGTCCTGAACCTTCATTTCTTCCTTATCAGCTCAAGTCACATTCTAAATAACTGATGATTCTGTCAGTTATTGAACTCTTTCAATAGTGATTCTGAATTCCGATATTCTATCGGTATACTAAAGATCCGTGTTCCCCTACTTGTTAAGATTACCCAATATCTTTGAATACTATCTGTAAATTCTGGTGTGTTC